ATGACATAAGAAAACAGAAAAAGGAACATTTTGAATTTTTTGTGGATTCTGACACCCTACTCGCAATGAATAACAGAAAATTATTCATTATGCTAAAAGTGACGATCATGACAAAGTGATGACTGAATGGGTCAGACAGTGTTGCAATGAGGGTGTGCCATTGATGGGTCCAATGCTACTGACTCAAGCCAAAATATTTCATGAAGAAATGAACTTCAAAACTGAGTACAAATATTCGACAAGTTGATTAATCAAATTTAAAAATCATGTTAAAAAGCAATTAAAAATTTCGGGTGAAAAACTTCAGCTGATACTAAAGCTGTTGAACTATTTGCAAAGAATTCATTGAACTCACTACTAGTGAAAAGTGGGTCCACCAGCGGCCGAGCGGTAAAGTCGCTGAACACTGGTAGTTTGGTCCGAGGTTAGAATCCCACGAACGGGCTGGCTGCCTGGGTTTTTCGTGGTTTTCCCTATGTGTAACGTGTATACGAGCCAGTTTCCCTTAGAAAGTCCTCCATGAAGGCATCCCTTACCTTAGGCAGATAGCCCTAGTGTGCTTTGCCATAATTAAATACACAACAACACCTACTAGTGAAAACTTATCTCCAGAACAAATTTACACCACTTATAAAACTGGTCTTTTCTGGCAAGATGTACTGTGAAATACCTTGGCTTCATCTACAGAAAAGGCTCTAAATAGTGTCAAAGATTCCAAAATGAGACTAACAATTTTAGAATGCACAAATGCTGGAGAAATGCATGCCCAAGTGTGAACTTTTCATAATCGGAAAAAATACATGACCTCAAGCATTTAAAGGAGTAAAGATTTTCCCCATTACATATCATAAAAATAAAAGAGCATGGATGACAGAAGAATTAATGAATTATTCGTTTGAAAATTGTTTCTTACTTGAGTCTCAGCAACATTTGAATTCATTTGGTTTACCTGATAACAAAAAAATTGTCCTAATAGTAGACAATTGTTCAGCTCATACTTCACTTAAAGTTTTAGTGAAAAATAATGTATCTATTTGATTCTTTCCTCCAAACTGTATATCCATCATTCAGCCTATCAATATCGGAATAGCGTGCCTGCTGAAATGCAAATATAAAGTAGCAATTTAAAAATCCATGTTAAATTTCTTGAACAATTGCAAGATTATTCAAGAATTTTTTTTTAATATTTTAACATAAAATCTACTGTGTGGAGCACTTTTAGATCATGAGATGATGTGTCTCCAGATACTTTGAAAAATGTTTGGCTTAATTTATAGCCAACTATTATATTTCATGGTGAGGATTATGAAGATGATAGCCATGAATTTGAAGGTTTTGGGATATAACAAACCAAAAGTGAAATTTTCCAGTTTTTTGATTTTGTAGAGAAATGTGGAGAAGCAGTAATAAATTAAGATCATATAACAGAAGTTTTTCATTGTGATAACAATACCTCAATCATGATCAGTTAATGGACAGCGAAATCTATACTATGGTTCCTAGATCCAGAAAATACCACTATTGATATTGAAGAAAGTGACAGAATAGAGAGGTTACTGACACGACAGAGAGGTTACTGAAAATGAAAAAATTTCGCCTGACAAGTTAGTTGGAATTCTCGGCACAGCAATTACAGCACTTGAACAATAGAACTTAGTAACTGAATAAGAAATTACGTCTGTCTATAGGATTAAAGAGAAAGTAATAGCACAAAAATGAAACAACTTATATTGAAGGTGTTTAATAAAATAAATAAATATTAAGCAGTGTGTGTGTGTGTGTGTGTGTGTGTGTGTGTAAATTTTGATACTCTTTAGATCATAAATGCTTCATTATTTCATAAATCACGATTTTATATTTTTAATTGTATAATTTCTACATGCCATCTTACTAGATTTAAACTGATGATCTAATATCCGGTATCGGGGAAGTCCCGATGAATCCAGATCTCAGACTGTATATGCAATACTTCTATCAGTCTTCATTTTTCAAGAAATGCAGTGGTACGTTTCAAAGTAGGGCTTGTTGCTCTGTCTTGATAAAGTTTCATTTTGAATATCATCGGGATAAAGAAAGGAATATCTTCTATAAATATCAGACGTAAAACTTTCTCTCGATAGTACGCTGAGCTGAATTTAACATTTTTTCACACTCTTCTTCTGTAAGAGAATACTACAATAATTATAAACCTCTTATTGAACTTTCTTCGTATTGATGGAACAGGTTTGTACACTTTATTTCTCTTTATACGAGGGCCATCCAGGAAGTAGATTACGTTTCCGTCTGTGTCCGCTAGGGGCGGGGCTAGCGCGGCCATCTTGGGGTCAGAGCGTTGCGCAGCTCAGTCTGCATCTAGCCGTGCTAGTGAGAGGTTCGTGCTGTGCTCCGTTCAGATACTGTGACGGTTTGAAATGTCTGCGTTAATTGAAAATCCCGCGAGCTGCGAGGTGCGCTCAGTAATAAGGTTTCTGACTGCAAAAAACTGTAAACCGATAGAAATCTATCGGCAGCTTCGTGAAGTGTATGGGGACAACATTATCACTGAAGGTGGAGTGCGTCAGTGGGTCATAAGATTTCAAAATGGCCGAACCAATGTTCACGACGAAGATCGAAGTGGGAGACCCAGCATAGTGACCGCCGAACTTCTCGAAAAAGTCGATGCTAAAGTCCGTGAAATCGAAATTTCGAAATTTCACAATTAATTTCGCTTTGTTGCACGAAATCATCAGCGAAAAGCTTGGTTACCACAAGTTTTGTGCAAGATGGATTCCAAAAATCTTGACAGAGGACCACAAAAATCAGCGAATGGCTGCAGCGTTGAACTTTTTGGACGCTTACCATAAGGATGGTGACTCTTTACTCGATCGCATCGTTACTGGTGACGAAACATGGGTGAAACATGTGAACTGTGAAACGAAATTGCAATCAATGCAGTGGGGGCACACAAGTTCTCCCCAAAAACCCAAGAAATGCATGCAAACAATGTCGGCAAGGAAGATGATGGCGACTGTTTTTTGGGACAGAAAAGGTGTAATTTTGGTGGACTTCCTGGAAAGAGGCACTACAATAAACTCTCAAAGGTATTGCCAAACTCTCCAAAAACTCAGAAGAGCAATTCAAAACAAGCGCAGAGGAATGTTGAGCTCTAAGATCTTGTTGATTCACGACAACGCCCGGCCCCACACGGCAAATGTCACTCGTAAAGTTCTTGAATCTTTTAAGTGGGAGTTGTTTCCTCATCCGCCGTACAGTCCCGACCTGGCACCGAGCGACTTCCACCTATTCCCAGCAATGAAGAAGTGGCTGGCTATGCAGCGTTTTGATGACGACGCACAGCTGCAAGAAGAGGTAACGAAGTGGTTGAAGGCGCAGGCGGCCGAATTTTTCGACGAAGGAATTTCCAAGCTCGTACATCGCTACGATAAATGCCTTAATTTGTATGGTGACTATGTAGAAAAGTAGTATTTGAGTGTGGCTTTCATCTGTATATAATAAAATTTGTTTCCTATACTTTGTTTATTTTTTTATTCCAAAACGTAATCTACTTTCTGGATAGCCCTCGTATTTCACAGTAAATGGATCTTTTTTTATTGCAGTCATTTAGGTAATCCTCCAGTTCATCAAGGGTTTTTCAGCCATCCATCAAGGTCATTTTCATTTATCTCCTGCTAAATAGTTTTCATACAGGATTTTATGAATTATTATGTGTTGACCAACATGCTCACAAATTAATTTTTAACATTTTTAAGTTATAAATTTTGGTTTATTCTTTGTTTTGATGTTAACAAAAATCCAACATTTCGATGTTCTATTCTGTTCTGTCAACAAATTGTTTCTATACGACACACAATTTTATTCTTGCATGACCAGCATTCTTACTTTTTAAGTAATAAAAGAAAAATACACCAAAAATGCTAGTTTTGATTTTCTATACTTGATAAGATACAAAAAAAAATTGCACTACAAATAAACTTTGAAATATTGATTTCAAAATATATAACAATAATGCATTTTAGAATGAGGTTCGGTTAAAAATACAACTTATCCCTCAGGTGTTTAAAAAGCGAAATTATTTTCCAAACAATTGAATACAAGCTTAGAACATATTTTGTAATGAAGCATCAAATAAAAGAAGCAGATTTATGCAACAAAACTGATGACAAAAAAAAAAAAAAAAATTACATAACTAGGCAACATGAAAATTTACTATCAAATATCTTTGAAAGAATATGTTCTGATGCAGAGAAATGCACGACTATGTGAAAACATCTCAACCAGCTATAATGAAAGCAATTCTTCTTTATACCATAATATTCATTAATCTAGACTTCGAAAAAAAAAAACTTTCAAGTATTAATATGCATATCGTAGAAGCAATAGACATTGCCTCCAAGCTATTATCATTAACAGACATTATCACCAAGAGAGAGATTTAGTAATCTTTTTGTCAAGTCTATATCTCGGATAAAGTATTCAATCCAATATATAGATTTGGTTGATCCAAGATCTAGACAAGATAATAACTTTAAAAAAAAAAGATTAGAGAATACACCTTCATGAGATTGTTGCAACCAAGAAGATTGGGAGGAGGGACTCAATGAAATATGGAATTTTATTTATGCATACCAAGTATGAATCCAAGGAAATAACTTTTAAAAATTGCCTGGACAACTATCTCATAGAAGTTTACAGGGCAGTACATTTTGGATGCAATAGTACATTGGCACTTACAAAAGTGGATATATCTGATAAAGCTTGATGTCCTCAGTGCAGAATGTAATGCAGAAATGAATTTGCATGCAAGGCTGTATTATCATTTACAGCTTAGAATGTTAATCTCAAGTAATAGAAAAATCTGTTAGTATATTACTACTTCATATAGGTGTGATATTAATTTTAAAAGTTCACTTTACCAATTAAAAAGTAAATGCTACAAACATAAAAAATGCAAATAAACATAAAATATTCTGCTTCATCAAATATTATTTCATTTAGCTTACCCTGCATGGATGAACATGTAAGTGATGTAACGCCAAGCTTCATATCGTCTTTTAGGATTATATATAAGAACACTTTCAAATGGAACAGGACCAGATGCTGTCAATTCTTTAAGAGTTACACAATAATAGATGAAAATGCCAATCTGAAAATTTTCAAATAATAAATTTTTTAATATAAAATACATTTTAGATTCTCATCGTAGAAAATAATGAAATGTATATTACATTATAAATACTAACATTATAAATATTTTAAATTCATATTAACATATAACAACATCAAAAAGATATATTTAAATGAAAAGTATCTTTATTTCTTTTCTTACATTAAACATGTTTTTTAGAAGTACATATTTAGATCAAAAGTTAACATATAAAAAATTATTCAGCAAAAAATTCCTCTTGTAGACAAGTAGAAGCAATATTAAATGAAAAAATTCAAAAGTTTCATTACAGAAATCACACACATTCTTTTTTGACTGTTTACTGTATGCAGAGGTGTGTTAGTCTGCTTTAATATGTTTAAAATTAAGTATCATTATGAACATTTACACTAAACGTATCTGAATATTTACAGTAATCATCATTTACATTAAAAAAGAAAATAATTTTCTTGGCAACTCTATAATATCAAATGCAGCAATATTATTCCTGTGCTAACTTTATTATATTAGCTCTTCTTTTCAGGTCAGAGTACTCATTGTTGATCTGGCATTGCATTTACTTTATTCTAAAAAAAAAAAAAAAAAATGCCATCATTTCTATCAATTTTCACTTCTGTATTTCAAATTAGCTTAAGTTCCCCTAAAATAGAAGTAGTCATTCATTATTTATTAAATTTTCTAAACATTGTTGAAATTACTGACCATCTTTTGAATTTGAATAGTCACGGAATGTTTTAGTGCATGCATCATATATTTTTTGCATTCTGAATCCTTCAACCATGGGTCTGATAAAATGTTATCTGTAACATGTTTATACTACCTTCTGCTAATACTTTACTATCAGAAAATATGAATATGCTAGTATATGTGAAATATATTAACAGATTTGTAACACTTGTGAAAGAGCATCATAAAGCAATAGATGTTTTAAAACAGGATATTCTGTCATCCACCAGCTCAAAACATTGCCACTAAATTGCAAATACCAAGGGTTGTAAGTACAATAACATTTTCAAATGCCCCAAAATCTTAAATTAAGGAAGTTTAGGAAAGTTCTCTAAATAATTATGCATTTGAGATTTTTATAATATGACTAAAGAGGAAAATATTTCCCAGTGACAGTTTATCAGCATTTTTTTGCTGTTGTTTGTGATCCATGTTACAGATGTGGTACAAAAGGTTTAGCAAAAAAGATGCAGTGTTTCGTAATTTTTATGCTCTAGAAAATTTTGAGAATAGACAAAACTTTGGCACAATTTTTGGATATACAGTCAAATACCGAAAATCCGCCGATCTGAAATCCATATTGCCTCTCAAAATATAAACATACAATTTATAACTTCCAGAAACTGCAACATGGAGTACGAAATATCGAAGAAAAAATACTTACCGAACAAATGACATCATAATTACCGAATAATAAGTCATAACGGAAATACCAAATTATTGACATCATGCTAAAAATTTTTTCCCTCTAATCTGCATCAAAGTAAAAAAGCAGACGATTCACTCAACTCTTCTTTAAGTTCAGGATTCACGTTGTTGTATTTTCTGAGCTTTGTTATTTCACGAGATTGTTTAGTGCTGTCATTTATTTAATCCGGATATTTTGTGGATAAATTAAGAATATTTTAAATTTCAGCCCTTTTTAATACGACTGATAAGAAATGCGCTCATGATTTTACTGCTTGCAACGTTGAAAAACGTAAACACGTTGCACTGACGGTAATGCAAAAAGTGCAAATTCTGCAAAAGATGGAGGCAAGTGCTACTCTTCGGTTTATAGCAGAATCGTACAGAATTGTGACACGACTGTGTATGATATATGGAAAAATAAAGAAAAGCTGTTGAAATTTTACAGCAACAATGATTCTAACACTGGAATCCGAAACCGAAAATCCTTGCATGAGGTGAAATCGGCAAACCTCGATGCTGTGCACATATTCCGTACCGTATATCGTATACAATGAATAATATAATCAATTTATATATGTAATAATAATTTAATTCATATAATAAATTATTGCAATAATGTATATAATAATGTAATGCACATAATAAATTATTGCAATAATGTAGATAGTCAAAAGTCGTTAATTGGGACTCGTCGGGACTTCGGCGATTCCGGATTATCGATTTTTCCGGATAATAGATCATCAGTTTAAATCTGGTAAGATGGCATGCAGAAATTACAAAATTAAAAATATGAAACCGCAATTTATGAAATAAAGAACAATTATGATCTAAAGGGTATCAAAATTTACAAAAAGAAAAAGCTTAATATTTATTTGTTTACTTTATTAAACATTTCTTTCAATGTAAGTTGTTTAAGTTACATCGTTTCATGTGATAATACTTTCTCTTTAATTCTATTAAACAGACATAATTTCTTGTTTAGTTATAAAGTTCCGCTGTTCAAGTCCTATAATTGTTGTGTCGAGAATACCGACTAATTTGTCAATCGAAATTTTTTCGTTTTAAATAACCTGGGTCACTTTCTTCACTATCGGAAGTGAATTATAATGATGAGGAACTTGATTTAAATCATATCAAAGACGGAGTACATCAAGATGAAATACTACATTTAGTAAGGAATTATAAGCCAAATAAAATAAAAACATCTGCCCTGAAGATAAGGACAGTGCTGACAGATCAACTTCCAATTCATTGCGCGCCTCGGCGTTCCCCCCCGCCGAACACCGTGAAATTGATAAAAAGATTTAGGATTTCGAAACAGACTTTCGCTTTAGATCCTTTACATATTAGCAAATATATATCCGAAATTCTATTTGATATAATCGAAAGTTCAAGCTTACTTTTATAAAATTGCTCTAACAGTCTGCAAAAAATAATAAGCCTGATCCAATTCGAAGATTAAGGAATAACGCAATCTGCAACATTAACTGAATTAGATAATTTTAGCTTAGCTTACACCGTCCGTTATACATTAAACGCGCATGTGTAAACGTTTTATGCGCATGCGCACATGCATATTCGCAGCCGTAAAGGTCTTACGTGCACACGTAAACGCATATGCGCATGCGTCAACACGACGCATGTGCAGGAAGTTTGTAGCTTTGAGATCCGGATTGTGGGTGTCTGAATTAACGACTTTTGACTGTATAATAATTTAATTAAATGTATCTAATATGCCTTATTTATTTTACACTTTTATTCTGAATATTAAGATTTATCTTTTCTGTCCTGAAATCTGCACAACCTCTGGTCCCAAGCTTTGTGGATTTCTGGACTTCTACTGTATACGTAAAGACTGAGAACATGAAAGAGCTAACACTGGAAGACTTCATACAAGGAGAAACGATGATTTTTTTTTTCTTCCTCAAACAAAACATGTTCTTATTTTCTTTCTGAACCATGTAACACGAGTATTCAGTCCCTTGAGGAGAATAAAAATTTGTGTTCAAATAGTGACCAATGATTGTTTAGATGATTATATGCATGTGAGTATATACTGAAAACTAGTTCAAGAAGGAAAATCTAAATAGGCAGGAAGTTCTACAGAGGTTTAGCTCACACAAGATTAAAATTATTTTAAAGAAAAAAGTTAAAAGATGAAAGATATTTCATGAATTTCACTGTTTCAATTCCCCAAACTTTAACAAATATATATCTGCTTATAACAAATACAATCTGCTTACTCATGTATAAGAGTCCATTACTAATTTACTTGTTTATTTGATCAGGGCAAAACATGCAATTATTCGAGTACAACTATCTTCCTAAGGAAAGGGATGTCTTCGTGGAGGATTTTCTAATAGAAACTGTCTTGTGTTCATCTTGCAGTAATATCTGCGAAAAATCATGAAAATGCTCATACAGTTAGGCAGTTGGCTACAATTGTGGTGGGCATATTCTAATCCAATTTCACTTCTGAATCTAAAGCCATTTGCACTTCTCAGGTTATGATCCTGGTTATTCCCATGATTACAAAATGGTCAAAAAGAAAATCAATCAAAACTGTTTCAGAATGAAAATACAATATTATTTCTAAGTAGCTACATTTTCATATTTTTTATATTCTTAATAATAACGATTTTTATATTAAGTATTAAATAGTGGTACAAATATTTTACTTTTTAGTTGTAATACATATAAAAGTCTTTTCAAAAGTAATCAAAACTTTGAGACATATAAAAATATTAGGAAAGAAAACAAAATAAAAACATTTAAACATAAATGCACTATTTTCATAAATAAATCAAACTTTACTAAACATTGGCTTTCAAATTATGACTTTGCTGGAAATGCAAAGAAGGCACATTTTTCTGTGTTTCATTTAAAATTAAAAATCAAAAAAGTAAAGTAACTAATTAAAATCAGTTTGTAAGATTTTTGAATAATGCCTCAATTATATGCAAATATTCTTTAATAAAACTGACAATAACATTTCTTAACTTCAGTTTGTTAAATCATGCAGCTTAATAAATGGAGAGAACAATAAAAAAACATAAGACTAGAACTTTAACTGAACCCTTCAAGAAATATTATTTTGAAAACAAAACTGGCACTGTAAATAATTCTGCCAACAGAATGGCAACACTGCCACTTATCAAACCCTATATTGCATTAATTAATAAAATAAGCACAGAACAAAGAAAACTGATAATGCTCAATAATATTCTAAAGCTAAACAAAACACATATAATAACTTAATAGTATTATTTTAGCTTGAGCAAAATGTTAACACAGAGCTTAATAATTTCAGCAATTAAAACAAACACACACAAAAAAATTAAAACTTACTTCAATTAAACTGATTAACAACAGGAATATAGGTGGCGGATAACAATTGTATTCTTCAATGTATCGCCGAACAGTAATAGCACATTGATTTTTAGGTACAACAGCCAAGGCAGCAAAACGAACAATTCTCTGAAATTTGGGCCTTGAATCACCAAGTTCTTTTGCATGAACCTATAATAGTAATTGTAAACTATGTTTTATATGATTTGGTGTAATTTAAGAAAAGAAAGTTTTGAAACACGATATTATTATAACACTGCTGTTATAATTTAACCTCTAACACACATAAAATTCAAAAATTTCCTCTTTAGAATATCAGTTACTATTTATGCACCAAATTAATTATAACATTTCTCTTGAAAACATAAAAACATACTTGCATGAAATATTTCAAAAAGCAACATATTTGTAATTTGAGTACTGTCGTGATTTTTTCCAAATAAGATTCTAAATTAAGATTTCTTTCTAGAATATTCATAATGATGGTTGTTCTATTTATTAGCAAGATTTGTTCATTAAAATCAAATAAATACAGTTGGATAACAAGAAAAATAGAACTTTTAAGGATTTGTATGGGTAAAAAAATAATCATATTGGCAAGAGTCTCCAAATATGTTTGAATGCCATCCCTCTTAACCTTCGCAGCATGCGCGTATGCGCAAAATTTATGACAAATTCAGTTTTTAATGCACATTTTTCGAATATCGAAGCTGAGACACCTGAAGGTAATTTCTATTCCTCCTTTCTACCCTTCCTCACATCATGGAATGTGCCAACAGGAAGTCATTTGACTTTTTTTAATAGGGCTTTTGTTCTACGTGGCAGCTTTTTCATAAGAGTTACGACATGCACGTCGTCATGTTTTAAAATTCGGAAAAATATTTTTTTCTCAAATATTTTGTAATTTTGTATTATTAATTGCCATGTATTATTTTAATACATTTCTCTCTGTAAATTTTATATCGGTTTTCATGGCAAAAAAAATATGTGCAACCAGCTGATTTTGCTCAGATTCTTCAAGAATTATCTGATGAAGAAAAGGAAACCTTTGGATGGGAGAACAATAGCAATTTCCATTCCTTATTTTCCTTCATTTCTATTTTTTAGAAATAAATAAAAAACATTAAAGTTAGTTTGTGCGTTTTTGTAACCAGTAAGAAGTAAGTAATGCTAAACTTACTTTTTTTTCCTACCAAGAAGTTTTCCTTTTTTATTGTCTATACTTTTCTTTGATGAATATTAAAATTAGCTTCGATTTTAAAATATGATTATTAAATAATAAATTAAAATTTTTTTATAATGAAATACATCATTGTATTTCCATCTGACTAACATAAGAACTTAAAAATAATTTACTTATATTTGAATTTGATATCATTTGTATTTTGCAATAATAAAATTAATATTTTATTTCTTAACAAATTTGTTATCAATATTCACTCATTTCTGCCAAAAACGGTAAAATAACGGATGTCGTAAAAATGAATCAAGACCCAACAATATGGCAGCCAGTATGCAATGGTAACCAGTATACAAATCATGCATTAACATTACTGTTAGCAGTATTTTGAATATTTTACAAATATATTCATTTATTAGCAAAGTCTGAGTCTACCATGCTCCATAAATCATACAATTTAAGACATAATCTGAGGAGTTAACAGATAAATAAATCAAGCTGCACCGACTGTATCCTTTCTTAGATTTCATAATTTTCATCTCAATAATTGCTGCTTTTGCACAGGTTGAAAATATTTCCCTATTTGTGATCATTGTATTTTGCATCACTCCTAAACTCAGAAGACTGCTTAGTATACAGTTAACTTAATGCCTAAGAAACGACTGTCTTTATGCAGAATACCTGTGAGAAAACAATTCATTTCTATATCACATATTAAACACACACACATATACATATAAAAATTGTAGCCTGCCAGGACACAGATAAACTATCAGTGTTTTACAGCTTTAGCCATTTGGCCACTGTGGATTGTACTAAAAGGAAAAATTCTCTCTACATTTCTCTGATTTCATGATAAAAATATAATATTTTTTTGTGTGTAAAACCACTCAGAATTTTATAAAATGCAATTAAATTTGAAAATTTTGTGATATCTTATGAGTGGTCATGACACATCAATTGAGAAACACTGTTTTAAAAGAAGTATTTCATACACAGAGATCACTAATAACATTTAAACAAATTTTCTTTAACTTACTAAATAGCAAAAATAAGTTTTCATGCAAAAGCTTTTTAAAATATTTATTAATAGAATCAGCATTATATATGCTTGATTTTACATGCAGGGATTTAATAACATTTGCCATTCATGACACATTATGCTTTACTGGTAACAGGAGCTAGGTTAATTTTTTACTTTATAAAAGTTAAATTATATAAAAAGTTTTTTTTAGTTAGTTTGCTTAAATGGGAAAAAAAATGACTTGAAAGTAATATTTAATGAATATCATTCCATAAAATTTTCTGTAATGATACTATAATATTTCTCATTTAGAATAATACTCTTATTAATACATGTTAACTGACATTTCTATGAATGGCATTAAACAAGCTTAACAAACAAGCTTGTGAAGGGTTACTTCACAACTGAAAAACATACTATTTTCTGTTTCCTAACTTAACTTGTAAGGATTATTTTAATTCACATATTATTTTTTACGTTTATTCTGTTCTATACTTCTGTTTCTTATTTTCTTTATTATCTGCTGAACCAGAAATGAAAATTAAATGGGATTTAAATGGGGTTTAGAGAAAGGTTTTAGATATTAAATCTGCCATTTGTGTTGCACATATTTAAGCTTTCTTATATTCTAAGATTCTGCGAGAAGCTGTGAACAAGTTTGCTTAACTTTTATTGGCAACTACAAGTTCATAATGAATGAATTTTTAGTTTGATTTAATTCTTTTTTGTGTTCAATAGTATTTTATATTTAAGCGTAAGGATGCTAACTCATCTGAAGTAGGAAAAGACTATAGAAATAATAAAGAAATGAAACTAGGTTTAATGTTATAAACAGAAATCTAAAACATTAAAAATTTAACTTATTTTCTGCTTATTTGTGTAGTTTTACAAACATTTGTATATAAAGTAAGGAAAATAATGAAGATTTCATAATGCTTTTAGACTTTTTATCAACATATATATAAATCATACTCAGAAATGTAATTATATTTTTTGCGTAAAATACCGCACTTGAAACTGGACATTAGCAATGATTTTAGACCTCAAAAATAAATAACTACCCACCTTTTGGTTGCTATTGCTCAGTTAAAAAATATTTTTATGCCTTCTAAAAATCTAAACTGTTTGGACTTTAAAACACTACAGCATTGAAATTACGTGCTAAATAAGAAATAAAGTCACTATTCATGTCTGCCAGTAATGAAGGCAGCATTACTGGCAGCAGACACTGATCAATGAACTTGCAAAATTTATGCCCGATTCAAAGCAATGATATAGCCGTCAATTTTGATATATGACAAAGCAAGAATTTCTCACGTAAAAACAGAGAATTTGTAGAAGGTTTTTCCCATTGTGTGACAATACCATTTAAAAAGAGCCACAAAGTGACTTAAATTCACTTTATAGTGCACAATTCAGGATTTTTTTATGTACAATAGATTAATATTTAATTACATATCCTAAATTTCATGTTCTTTAGCTAATTTCGTTTTGGAATTTTCTTACACTTTTATACTGAGGAAAAAAAGCTTTTATTTATCAAAGTATTTTTAAATATGATGGAAGATAATAATTAATATGCATATTATTGCATGAATAAATTTAGTAACATACCACTGATTGATGTAAAGCAAAATTAAATACAAACATTAACTAACTAAACATTGCTTGAATGTTCTAAAGTTCTAGAAATGATTACAAGAGATTAAGACAACTCAGATGAAATAAAATTTAATGAGAAAAATTATGCTAAAATCATTATGGGTGAGGAAATTGAATTATATTTTCCTTGGTAATGACTAAAAATTAAAAACTAGGAAACTCAATCTACTGGAGGTCAAGTGATGAAATGAAAAAAAAAAAGGGAAAATTGGCCACTGTAACTAAGATATGAGAGATTTAACAAAGAATGAGATAATACTCGAAATAAACAGATCAAAATAAATAATTTCTTGTTAAAGACAATTTGGTGATAGCAGCCAACAGAAAAGTTCATGAAGACAAATGCTCACAATTTCACTGCTGACCAAGCACTTTCCATGACTATCATGAACTTTACCATATTACATTTTAAGAAATTATTTTTAAAAAAATCAAACTATCAAAAGTTACGCTCTAACTGGGATCCAAAAGAAAAGGAACAAGTAGGTGCACTTTCAACTTTCTTACTTGATACCACTATCTAGAAAGCAACAAATTCATTACAAATGAAAATATACACATGTAGCTCCAGGAGTGAAAAGTGAATATGTAGAATGCAGCACTTCAGTTCCTCCAAAAATTGAAAAATGAAATACACAGTTTCAAACAAAATCAAACGCTGTGGCTAAGTACATGCCGTATTAGGGCAAAACCACGAATGGCTCATTAAATCAGTAATAGTTCTTTGGATCGTAACTTACTACTTGCTTAACTGTGGCAATTCTAGAGCTAATATATACAGCAGAGCTCCGACCCTCTGCAAACGAGTGCTTTTATTATACCAAAACCAATTAGACCTTGTGTCCGTATTATGTGGTGACTCTGCATAACTTTGTGCTGACTACATAGGCTCGTCTCAGCAAAGTGTCTTTCAAGTGAATGCCTTATCAACTGTCGATAGTAGGTTACGCACCTACCATAGTCATAACGGATGACAGTGAATCGATATTCAATTCCGGGGAGGGAGCTTGAGAAAAGAATACCACATCCAAGGAAGGCAGCAGGTGCACAAACTACCCACTCTCAGAACGAGGAGGTAGTGACAAAAAATAACAATACAGGATGTTTTGGCACTGACTGTCATTTTGCCTTGAGATAAACAATACATTTGAACATAATAGTGCTCTAGGGAACTTAATATATACAGAACAATTCAAAACAAGACAAAAATGTTCACTTGAAGTGCAACATTGCTTCAGATAACACCTGGCCCCATCTTAACCCTTTCAAGACGGGCGTCCCATATACGCATTCCCTAAGAACGTC